TCTCTCTCCCTCTCTCTCTCCAGGTATACTCCAAGTATACAGGCGTTCTTAATGCAAGACAAGCCACGAAGGAGGGGGAGGAATGAAAATCTTTTTCTCAAGTACTTTCACATTTCTGAGTGCATCATCAGGAGCTGTCCAATGTTGCAAGGGCAGCAACTTGAGAAATAGGGTAAGTTTTTCTTCAGACTATGGTAACGCTGTGGCACCAGCCTCTGACTGAGCGAGAGAGGCCAACAGAATGCCAACCACACACCGGTATTCCCCCCCTCCCATACGCCACCAAATTTGGGGTCAAGTGGAGCAGGCCCCACAGTTTGCTGATAGCATGCGATAACTGGGAGATAGTTAATAGCCAGCCCTAAGCTTCTAACTGCTGGGAACAGGTCATGTGATGTAAGAAGTTACATTACAATAGTGGATCATTTACATACAGAATGCAGCTTTTGTGAACAACCTTCTAACTAATGAAACAGAGTGAATAAACAGAGGGAATAAATCCCTCATTTTGTCAACAGGTGTTGCAGAACATTCCCGAATATTCAGGAAATACTCTCAGTCTCAATTAATATGCCTGTGTAAATTTTCCTATTCAGGCTTTCCTTTCATATAATAACTAGGCAATTCCTGATTTTTTAACACTATAACTCTCATTATTATCCACTCTCATCTGGTATGATCATTATTATTATCATAATCATTATAATATTACTAACAACCTAATTCAAAAAACCACTAAACTAGTTGCAATCACCATATTGTAATCAACTATGTGTACCTTGTACCGCTGTACCTAGACGGGTTAGGCCCTCAATAGGTCACTGCATTTCTTTTGCGCTATCATAGGATGATCACACATGTGCACCGATACCTAAGTGAACCCCCCATACCTACTACCTTACTACTGACGTTATATAGTTCATGTTCCAGTCTGTATTGGAGCACACCACCTAGAGCACCTGTAGCATTACGATACCTGTATGCAGTAGTAACTGAGTGGGTTATAACTATGGTCACGGCAGACCTAATATATTAAATATCGACGTTCGCGACGGACTTAACAAGATGTCATATATTATATCGACGTTCACGACGGCGTACCATGATGTTCAGTTTGCAGAATCTGGTTCGAACATAACTGAAAGATCACTAAATTTCCTAGCATAAGGAGCAATCCTGAGCTTTTGTATAATATCGGTGTTTAGGGTTGTGCACAAGAGACTCCACAAAATAACTATTGAGTTTGTACAGCCCATAATTTGAGTTATATACGGAATTCCTATCATGTTTCAGGAGTGCAATTATCTGGGCGGCAGCCCACCCCGGTGGATGATTGCAAGAGCTGACGTAGTTAAAGATCGCATTCGACCCCTGGCCCTATTTCTCCTGTTGCTGCCCTTGCAACATTGAACAGCTCCTGATGACGCACTGAGAAGTGTGAAAGTGCTTGAACTAAATATTTCCACCCCCTGTGGCTTGTCTTGTGTTATATATATATATATATATATATATATATATATTATATATATATATATATATATATATATATATATATATATATATATATATATATATATATAAATATATAGTTACCTAACACTGAAGATGGTGGGTAATTCGTAAGGAAGACGAAGGTTACTTCAACCTGAGCTGTTTAAGCAGTGAGCGCTTCCTTCCTGCTATGGTAATAATAATAATAATAATAATAATAATAATAATAATAATAATAATAATAATAATAATAATAATAATAATAATAATATAAATAATAATAATAATAATAATAATAATAATAATAATAATAATAATAATAATAATAATAATAATAACCTGTTGTTTTGACCTCACACAATACAAGTCAGAAGCTTAGAAAGCAAAAGATAGCAAGAAAAGGGTGTACATTCAGCTGCCTGTATCTTCCTTCCTTCCTTCCTCTCTACCTTCCTTCCTTCCTTCCTTTCTACCTTCCTTCCCTCCTTTCTATCTTCCTTCCTTCCTTTCTACCTTCCTTCCTTCCTTAAATCCTTTCCATCATTTTTCTTCCTCTTCCTCAACACCGTTTCTGTATGTGTTTATGTTTCATAAACTTCGAAGACCTTTACAAGTACATGACACGCAGAGTAAGATTTCTTTTGTTGTTCGCACCACTAGTAATGGTTCATTCCATGTTCCTACCACCATTAGTGGTTCATTCCATGTTCCTACCAACAGTCGTGGTTTATTCCATGTTCCTACCATCATTAGTGGTTCATTCCATGTTCCCACCACCAGTCGTGGTTTATTCCATGTTCCTACCACCATTATTGGTTCATTTCATGTTCCCACCACCAGTCGTGACTCATTCCTTGTTCCCACCACCAGTAGTGGTTCATTCCTTGTTCCCACCACCAGTCGTGGTTCATTCCTTGTTCCCACCACCAGTCGTGGTTCATTTCTTGTTCCCACCACCAGTAGTGACTCTTTCCTTGTTCCCACCACCAGTAGTGGTTCATTCCTTGTTCCCACAACCAGTCGTGGTTCATTTCTTGTTCCCACCACCAGTCGTGACTCATTCCTTGTTCCCACCGCCAGTAGTGGTTCATTCCTTGTTCCCACCACCAGTAGTGGTTCATTCCTTGTTTCCACCACCAGACGTGGTTTATTCCTTGTTCCCACCACAAGACGTGGTTCATTCCTTGTTCTCACCATCAGTCGTAGTTCATTCCTTGTTACCACCACCAGACGTGGTTCATTCCTTGTTCCCTCAACCAGACGTGGTTCATTCTTTGTTCCCACCACCAGTCGTGGTTCATTCCTTGTTCCCTCAACCAGACGTGGTTCATTCCTTGTTCCCACCACCAGTCGTGGCTCATTCCTTGTTCCCACCACCAGACGTGGTTCATTACTTGTTCCCACCACCAGTCGTGGTTCATTCCTTGCTCCCATCACCAGACGTGGTTCATTCCTTGCTCCCACCACCAGTCGTGGTTCATTCCTTGTTCCCACCACCAGTCGTGGTTCATTCCTTGCTCCCACCACCAGTCGTGGTTCATTCCTTGTTCCCACCACCAGTCGTGGTTCATTCCTTGTTTCCACCACCAGACGTGGTTCATTCCTTTTTCCCACCACCAGTCGTGGTTCATTCCTTGTTCCCACCATCAGACGTGGTTCATTCCTTGTTCCTACCACCAGACGTGGTTCATTCCTTGTTCCCTTCACCAGACGTGGTTTATTCCGTGTTCCTACCACCAGTCGTCGTTCATTCCTTGTTCCCACCACCAGACGTGGTTCATTCCTTGTTCCCACCACCAGTCGTGGTTCATTCCTTGTTCCCACCACCAGACGTGGTTCATTCCTTGCTCCCACCACCTGTCGTGGTTCATTCCTCGTTCCCACCATCAGTCGTGGCTCATTCCTTGCTCCCACCACCAGTCCTGGTTCATTCCTTGTTCCCACCACCAGTCGTGGTTCATTCCTTGTTCCCACCACCAGCCCTGGTTCATTCCTTGTTCCCACCACCAGTCGTGGTTCATTCCTTGTTCCCACCACCAGTCGTGGTTCATTCCTTGTTCCCACCACCAGACGTGGTTCATTCCTTGTCCCCACCACCAGTCGTGGTTCATTCCTTGTTCCCACCACCAGTCTTGGTTCATTCCTTGTTCCCACCACCAGTCGTGGTTCATTCCTTGTTCCCACCACCAGTCGTGGTTCATTCCTTGTTCCCACCACCAGTCCTGGTTCATTCCTTGTTCCCACCACCAGTCGTGGTTCATTCCTTGTTCCCACCACCAGTCGTGGTTCATTCTTTGTTCCCACCACCAGAAGTGGTTCATTTCTTGTTCCCACCACCAGACGTGGTTCATTCCTTGTTCCCACCACCAGTCGTGGTTCATTCCTTGTTCCCACCACCAGTCGTGGTTCATTCCTTGTTCCCACCACCAGTCGTGGTTCATTCCTTGTTCCCACCACCAGTCGTGGTTCATTCCTTGTTCCCACCACCAGACGTGGTTCATTCCTTGTTCCCACAACCAGTCGTGGTTCATTCCTTGTTCCCACCACCAGACGTGGTTCTTCCTTGTTCCCACCACCAGACGTGGTTCATTCCTTGTTCCCACCACCAGTCGTGGTTCATTCCTTGTTCCCACCACCAGACGTGGTTCATTCCCTAGGCTAAGTCTTACTGAAGTTCTCCTCACTGTTTCTCTTTCCATATTAATTTATTCGCGTTTCTAACCACACCAGTGTTGGTTACATGACCACATCCCTTGTTTGAAGTACATGACCACTCCCAGTGTTGAAGTCCTTGTCCACATCCCTAGTGTTGAAGTATCTGACCACATCCCTTGTTTTGAAGTACATGACCACATCCCTAGTGTTGAAGTACATGACCACATTCCCTTTAGTGTTGAAGTACATGACCACATCCCTAGTGTTGAAGTACATGACCACATCCCTAGTGTTGAAGTACATGACCACATCCCTAGTGTTGAAGTACATGACCACATCCCTAGTGTTGAAGTACATGACCACATCCCTAGTGTTGAAGTACATGACCACATCCCTAGTGTTGAAGTACATGACCACATCCCTAGTGTTGAAGTACATGACCACATCCCTAGTGTTGAAGTACATGACCACATCCCAAGTGGTTAGACACATAACCACATCCCTAATGATGATACACATATTAATATTGATATATCACCACATCCCTGGCACTGATACACAATCACATACTTGGTATTGATATATAGTCACATCCCTATTGTTAAAACACGTAACCACATCGGTAGTGTTGCTCTACACAACCACATCCTTGGTGACGCTACTCATAGCCACATCCCTAATACTGATACATACCCATATCTCAGGTGATGAAATACTGAATCACATCATTGGTGTTGCATAAAGCTGACCACATCTTCATGTGTTACAGTCTATAGCCATATCCATAGTGTGGCATTACATAAATGGACTCCTGGTGTTGCATCACAAACATGACCACATCTCTGGTGTTGCAGGACACATCAGCCACATCAGGGAGGTGGCTGGCATCGACCATGTGGGTATCGGCGCTGATTTTGACGGCATAAATAAGTAAGTGAAATGTCTGCTTGACTTTACTTTGTATAAAGCATATTATGGCTGTGTTTTCATTCATTATGGCTGTGTTTTCATTCATTATGGCTGTGTTTTCATTCATTATGGCTGTTTTCATTCATTATGGCTGTGTTTTCATTCATTATGGCTGTGTTTTCATTTATTATGGCTGTGTTTTCATTCATTATGGCTGTGTTTTCATTCATTATGGCTGTGTTTTCATTCATTATGGCTGTGTTTTCATTCATTATGGCTGTGTTTTAATTTATTATGGCTGTGTTTTCATTCATTATGGCTGTGTTTTCATTTATTATGGCTGTGTTTTCATTTATTATGGCTGTGTTTTCATTTATTATGGCTGTGTTTTCATTTATTATGGCTGTGTTTTCATTTATTATGGCTGTGTTTTCATTTATTATGGCTGTGTTTTCATTTATTATGGCTGTGTTTTCATTTATTATGGCTGTGTTTTCATTTATTATGGCTGTGTTTTCATTCATTATGGCTGTGTTTTCATTCATTATGGCTGTGTTTTCATTCATTATAACTGTTTTTTCATTAATTATTGCTGTGTTTTCATTCATTATAACTGTTTTTGCATTCATTATTGCTGTGTTTTCATTCATTATTGCTGTGTTTTCATTCATTATGGCTGTGTTTTCATTCATTATGGCTGTGTTTTCATTCATTATGGCTGTGTTTTCATTCATTATGGCTGTGTTTTCATTCATTATGGCTGTGTTTTCATTCATTATGGCTGTGTTTTCATTCATTATGGCTGTGTTTTCATTCATTATGGCTGTGTTTTCATTCATTATGGCTGTGTTTTCATTCATTATGGCTGTGTTTTCATTCATTATGGCTCTGTTTTCATTCATTATGGCTGTATTTTCATTCATTATGGCTGTGTTTTCATTCATTATGGCTGTATTTTCATTCATTATGGCTGTGTTTTCATTCATTATGGCTGTGTTTTCATTTATTATGGCTGTGTTTTCGTTCATTATGGCTGTGTTTTCATTTATTATGGCTGTGTTTTCATTCATTATAACTGTTTTTTCATTCATTATTGCTGTGTTTTCATTCATTACTTTTTTATTCATCATTCCTGTTTTCATTGAAATTGTCTGTATTTTCATTCACTATGTATTTTCAGTCTTACTGTGTATATTTGCCATCTAATTCAAATACAAAATACACACACGAGCATCAAAATTATATAAATCAAGAGAAAATTTTGATGGTTCAGTGATGGTAGTGTTATTAACTCATCAATGGGGAAGGAGAGACCCACTTTTCGGCCTCTGAAAAGGGCTTCAGAGACCGAAACAAAAGTTCCCACTCGTTGGTGACCAACTACACGTTGGTCACCAAGACCACATGTCAACAGTACTCAAGAAACATTGTAATCAATAGAGGGTTCAAAATCAAATCTAAATGTGTATATAGGTATTCGCCTCATTAAGTGTATATGCAGTGCTGCTATAAAGAATACACTTTAGGTGAGGTATTTTCTTCAGAAGATATGCAATATGCGCCTTGGCTGGGTGTTTCGTTGGGTTTAAACCCTATCTACTACGCAAATAGTCGTTATGGCTGCATATTGCGTCGTCACCACCTGTCAAGAGAGCTTTAATCTATACAATAGTTATTAAACTCACACAGCATATACACCAATAGATATACATCTCTCGGTGTAAAACAGAGACATATATTATGTATATATATTTTCTTCGTCACTTGGTTATTATATGTTTAACTCTTTCTCGGAGTATAATAATAGCATAGGCGAGCGCTTAATAATGTCCAAGATATGGATAATGTCCGGGTATGGATGACCTCATGTGGACCCTGCATCATAAGCAGTAACCCTGGCATGCACACTTGTCTCATTGTTTACTCAGCAGTGATATTCACATGACACTGTTGCAGAGCATCAGTTGTGCTGGAGGACTCCTGCTTGCAATATATAAGTTATAATAATTATGAACACAGGGACTGTTTAAGGCCTGGTATACCTGGCCATAAAGATACAATACCAGGAAGAGCGTAGGTAATGAAACAATCGAGAAATATTAAGACAAAAATATTCACCAGAGGTTGTTTCTTGAGTGCCCTATATTTCGACCGCCAGTGATATTTACAGTATAAGCATGAGATTTTGTATCTCTCGTTTAACATACGAGAGAGCAAGAGTATTCTTGGTGAATAGTCTACACACCCACACGGAAGACAGAACACTAGTATGTGTTAATCAGCTGAAAGCAGGCGAAGATCTGGCTTCCTATGTGAATTTTAGTTATAAGATATTCTAGCTTGGAGCCCACTCCCTCACTCCAACTGGTTGACATTTATAAATGGTAGTTATTCTTCAATGTGAACAGGGCCTCCTACACTCATAATAACAATAAACTACCAGGCTTTTAGGTTATTACTGGTGAAATGCAGAATTTGTGGTTGTGTGTGATGCATGGCAGATAAAAATGGTGGACTCTGTTCTTGTCACACCCCAGCCCCAGAGCGCTGTTACATCTGGAATTGGCAGATTGGCAGCATGCCACAATGGCATGAATAAAGAAAACTGGTTAGTGGGACTGTTTTCCCTCTACCATCCTACCCACCTGGCAGTGCTCGACAAAAATGTAACTTATCTTCAATTTTTTTTAACACCAAGTCACTGTGATAGGGTAAGACAGTTGACAGTAGACCTAAAATAAGTCCAAGACGCTTTCAGATGGTAACAAAATGCTCCCTTATGAAAAACCTTACCACCTTACTATAGTACTAGGAAAAAGAGCTTAAAGTTACCCATATCGGTAATCCTAACCAATTTCCACATAATAAATGTATAATAAATACATCCTAGCTAGCAAGCTCTGGAGAGGGAGTACGCCATGGTGTTGGCTTCTCTGCTTTAAGTGAATGTTCTTATTCCGTATGGAGTTCAGGCATTTTATGGTCGCCGTACACTTGAACTACATTTGGCGAGGAAAACACATCGATGTTAAAGCATTTCGGTACCATAACCAGTGTCATGGCCTCCTTTTCAGTGGTAGAGTAGGCCCATTGGTGGGGCTTAAATTCGGCACAGAAATAGAGGACTGGGAAGAGAACTCCCTCTCATTTTTTTTTTTATTATCACACCGGCCGATTCCCACCAAGGCAGGGTGGCCCGAAAAAGAAAAAGCTGTACCATCATTCCTCCATCACTGTCTTGCAGGAGGGTGCTTTACACTACAGTTTTTAAACTGCAACATTAACACCCCTCCTTCAGAGTGCAGGCACTGTACTTCCCATCTCCAGGACTCAAGTCCGGCCTGCCTTTTTCCCTGAATCCCTTATAAAAAGTTACTTTGCTCACAAATCCAACACACGTCAAGTATTTAAAAACCATTTGTCTCCATTCACTCCTATCAAACACGCTCAACCATGCCTGCTGGAAGTCCAAGCCCCCCGCACACAAAACCTCTTACCCCCTCCCTCCAACCCTTCCTAGGCCCACCCCTACCCCGCCTTCCTTAACTACAACTGATACACTCTTTAATTTTGTTTCGCTCCATTCCTCTACATGTCCGAACCACCTCAACAACCCTTCCTCACCCTTGGACAAAGTTTTGGTAACCCCCCCACCTCCCCTAAATTCCAAACTCTTCCGATTATATTCACACCACCATTGCCCCCAGACATGAATCTCCACCTCCAGCCTTCTCCTCGCGCAAAATTATCACCCCCGCTTCACACCCCTATAGAGCTTTGGTAAACAACCTCAACTTTATACTTCATACTCTCATGATGTTTAAAAAAGAGCTGTGCCAAATCCCATTTCACAGACATCGATCTTTAAGGTAAAAGGTTGTGAATAGTTTGGCTATAATAGTTTAGGAGATGCACACAGCACTTTTAACTTTTCATGATTCCTAGCACTTAATTTATCACATACACAGGATTCTCTTACTTGTAAAATTGGATTGAAGAAATTCTTAAAGAGCTTTTCATAGAATCCTTTCATCCCAAGGAATCAATGGAGAAATTTTTTTGTGATGGAGAACTTTATAATTTTGAATAGTTGTTGTACTGTCATTTTGAGTGTTACATTCTCTTGTCCTGTCATATGACCAAGAAAAGTAACTGGAAACCGACCAAAGGTTGATATACTGAGGTTGCCCATGTGTCAGTTTTTCTTAAATCTTTCAAAGAGGCCCCTGAGAGAAGAGAGATGGCCATCCCATGTGTCAAAAGCAATTATTAAATTCATTAAAGTATGCTTGCACGCCGATTAGTCCCTTAATGCCCAAAAATAGAGCTTTTGATATGTGGTAGGTGCATTGCACGTACCACATGCCTTGGCCACTTGCCAGGCTATTCCACTGCCTGACAACTCTATGACTGAAGAAATACTTCCTAATATCTCTCTGACTCATCTGTGTCTTCAACTTCCAATTGTGACCTCTTGTTTCTGTGTCCCCTCCCTGGAACATCCTGTCTTTGTCCACATTGTCTATTCCGTGCAGTATTTTTATATGTCGTTATCATGTCTCCCCTAACCCTCCTGTCCTCTAGTGTCGTCAGGCCGATTTCCCTTAACCTTTCTTCATAGGACATTCCCCTTAGCTCTGGAACTAACCTTGTCGCAAACCTTTTCACTTTCTCTAGTTTCTTGACGTGCTTTATCAAGTGCGGGTTCCAAACAGGTGCTGCATACTTCAGTATGGGCCTGACGTACACGGTGTACAGTGTATTGAACGATTCCTTATTAAGGTATCGGAACGCTGTTCTCAGGTTTGCCAGGCGCCCATATGCTGCAGCAGTTATCTGGTTAATGTGTGCTTCTGGCGATGTACTCGGTATTATACTCACTCCTAGGTCTTTCTCCTTGAGTGAGGTTTGCAGTCTTTGGCCTCCTAGCCTATACTCCGTCTCCGGTCTTCTTTGCCCTTCACCGATCTTCGTGACTTTGCATTTGGCGAGGTTAAATTCTAGGAGCCAGTTTCTGGACC